TTTTTTTTTCATGGGAGAAGGGGAATCACATAAGGTAAATGAGATGAAAAAACCCCAGGGATAACTAGTAAGTTGATGGAGGAAACAACAAAGAACAGAGTTGATTCTCAAAAGCATTTTTGTACCAGGGTAGTTCAGATTGAACTTTAGGGCATATCCTGTCTTCATGATAGACCAGGAACAGAAAAAGTGGGTACTAGGTGGCAGGGCCTGAGTGATAGACAGCATGTGGTGGGACCCTCAGCATTTCATGTACACCTCATGGAAGTGCTGAGTCTTGTTGAGGGGCAGGGGCAGGGGCAGGGGCAGGGCCAGAGATCTGCCCTATGTTTATAGCACTGAGTGACAGTGTTCATGGGCTGCCCAGTGTATTTTAGGGGTATTTGGCACGACTCATGTTTTTATTAGTTTTTGGAAGAAACTGGCTTTCATTTTGTTATCTTTCCAATGCCAAGTTTGAATTGAAAATGAACATTACATCAGTTTGTTTCTTGGTCCTTGGGAAAAAATCCAACTTCTATGGACAAGTTCAACCTGGGTGCCAAGGGAAGAAGAGACAGATGATATGTCTGTTTAAAAGTGTCATATTAAGTTTTACACATTTCACTTGGAATATGATATTGTCACTATCCCAGTTATACACACACATACACACACACAAAGAAATACACATTTAAATTTCTACTGAATATACACAGGAATAAAGATTTGTGTAAGCATATTTTATACTTAGTGTTAGGCAAGATATAATTATTCTGTGGCAATCAGCCAATTAGTCATGATTGTACTGATTGAGGAATTCTCATGAGAAAAACACTGAAGTATGTCTAAAATGCAGATTTGTACAGATGCTTTATTATACCTATTTCTATGATTGCACATAAACTAGTTGTGTATTATGTATTGGTTTTAGTAAAATACGAAGAAATTATGGCTTAACTGGCCCAGAGATCAAAAAGCCCTGGGCAAGGTCATCTCCTTGCTAGCCTACGATAAGGAGGGATGCCAAGCTCAAATATTCTGTGACATGGTTACCACTGTTTTGTTTTTCCACAATGTGAGAAATTTTAGAATTTTGGTTAGAGAACCACCATCGCAACAAAAGATTTTAGTGTGTTGGGTTTTTGATGACAACAAAGATCTACTTACATATGTTTTTCTAGTTTAGCAGTTAGTATATATCAACTGACTTAGTTAACTACTGAAATCAAGAATCCTTTAAACCAAGAGAAAGGGAAAATACAAAAAAAAAAACAAAACCCACAACAATAAATTAAAGAGCTGTAGGGTGTATTTGGATTATTTTGATGTCATGATTCATGGATGTGGTGACACTAGTTGAGTTTTCTTTATGATTTTAGCATAGGCCTATGGTTTTAGAAAAGACCTTGTCTATATATTTATGTTTATGTTGTTCATGGCATTTTGCCTCTATTGTACTAGGATTTTGTTGTGCAAGTAGGAGAAATGTCCTCACAAGCCATACATAAGCAAAGTGTAGCCAAATGATTTTGCTTCTTCACCTATATCTGCCATACCTTTCTACTTTCAATTATAGTATTTGGTAGGGGTATAGGCAATAGAAATGTGTTTTTATGAAAGTTTCTTTGAGGTGAGCTTTATACCAGAATACATAGGGAAAAATGGTGCATATCACATTTGCTCAAGGTGATTCTTATTTATTTATGAATGTCATAGAAAGCCAAGTATTTTCTCAAAGTTTGAAAAAGGTGGAAAGTGAACTAAGGGTAAGCTACCTTCTGTCCCAGTTTTGAGATCACTGAATCCAGATTGAGATAAGTCACAAGCTGAGTTGATCTGCTTTCCTTGGTCGAGCTACATGGAAAGAACAACAAACAAATGGTGATAAATAGTAGTAACTAACAAGCAAATAGGAGTCAAAGAAAAAGAAAAAAGAAGGTGTACCCCAAGCTGACAGCTTAGTTTTGCAGAAACCTACAGATGGTAGTGAAGATTTAAAATTTGCTATCCTGTCCTGTTAAATTCAAGTAACAAACATGTACTTCTTCCCCAGTTTTCCTTACTGCTTGGGTCAGAATGAACTCTAAGAGCATACTCATTCTTCCTATACAGTGCTGTCTTTGGTTATCATTAATAGTTATCAGGGTTTTCCCTGAAGGTAAATGTGTTTCATTAGGAGCAGATGTAATTCTAATCTGTAGAGTCTGTAAAACATTCAAGGGATTATTTGGATTAAAGACCTCTAAGTATTAAAGGGAAAAATATTATCATTACTTTAATAATACTTTCCCAAGTTGCAAATGAATAACTGGCTCCAACAATCACATCACTGTAATTGTTCACACATTTCAGGCAGGCATTTAACAGCCCCACAAAGAAACTTCAACAGCTAGGTTCCTCAGACTTGATTGCTAGAGAGACTCAAAGTTTTTGTTTCAATGCCAAACATCAAATCCCTAGAGCGAAAGTTAGACAGGAAGGCTGAACTTGAACAAAAGTTCAATGGTTTTATAAAATATACCGTTATTGAATCTAATTGAATTTAAGACCCCATGAGTTGTAAAATGCACCATTATTTTATGTATTATTAAAAAATAAATAAAAACATTGCAATTTAAACTATGACATGTTGTCAGTGGTAAGATACCCTTCAATTTCAGTGAGATTAAAATGTGAAATAACATGTATCTTAGAATCCATGAATTATGATTAAACAACAATGATAAATAATTATATGGTCAGTCTGATCGTCATTTTTCCTATATGATAAAAACCATCAGAAAAAAAGTGGAAAATTAGGTCAGACATTTGGAGGCTCTGTGTTCCAGATTGTAAGTGTTGGAAGAAACATGATAGAAAATTGAAATTCGATCTTGAAATGGACATTCCAGTCTCCTGAACACATAAAAAGTCTATTACCTAAGAGAGATTTATTACACACTAGATGTGTTAAGAAAAGTACGGGTAGGAAAACATGGTGCCGATATTGCCAACTTCCTCTCATCTCTACCAAGTGGGATCATACCGTGCCATTAAATTCTCCTTGATCTTCACACTTTTTGAAAGATTTTTGTGCTCCAAGATTGTAAATGTCTGAACATAAAACTAATAGTTAAGGAAGAGTGGCTGTGGGAAAGGAAAAAGTGAAAAACTGTGGGAAAGAGTAACCAAAGCACAGAAAGTGTGGATAAGTTTCATTTATCTGTTATCGGTCGATTAAGCAATAGACGATGAGCTGAGTAATTTCCCAAGCCTAATACACATCCTATGCCTTTTAAAGCATCGGCTAAATCTTCTTTTAATACAAGGTGGCAAAGGACTCCTGAAACGTGAGACTGTAGTCCCAAGTGACATAAAACTAGGTTATGGTTCTTTCCCAAACCACTCTGAATCTTTCACTTTTTCTTAATAATCTGATGCTACTTTATAAAGGCTCTGGCCATATGCCCTCCTGCCATTGGAACAGAAAAATCAATTTCTTCTTTGTTATTATATAACGACTTCAATATTATGAATCAAGTTGCTCTCAAGAGACAAAAGGTAAGTATTTTTAATATGGGAAGTAAAAGGCAGCCTACTGTTAGGTTTGTGTTGCTGTGTTTTCTGGGTCTTGGTTCCTGGTACTGTACCTAATCCTACTGCCAAAATGCACATGGACAAAGAACAGGCAGCTCACAGATGAAGAAATATGAATTTCCAAGGGACGTGAAAAAATGCTTATTATCACAGGTGACCATCAAAGTGTATTGTACACCTATAAATAACAAGATTCCATTTTTGCTTGCAAGATTAGCAAAAAGTTT